CAGCTGTCCCTTTGGCACATGGGATATTTCCATCCCAGGTGCAGACCTTTGCACTTCTATTGAACCTCGTGAAGTGTCTTCTGGTGCAGTCCTCAAGCCGACCATTGTCCAGTTTGAAGCTCTGCCATTTGGTGTGCAGTCTCATCCTTCTAATTTAATGTCAGCTGCAAACTTGATAGTATGTAGTCTATGTCCTTGCCCAGGTCACTAGTGAGATGTTGATTGACATAGGCCACAAAATTGACCCCTGCAGGGCTGTCCTCATTGCGGGCTGCCATCAGGGTGTAAGCCATTGATCAGCGCCTTTCAAGCCGGGCCATTCAGGCAGTTTTCAGCCCACCTCATTCCCTTCATCCAGGCAGTATTTCTTTCTGAAAGGCATGAAAAATACTTAGCAACTCAGTAGATTTAATTGCTATAAGTTTGGTATGTGATGAAAATTAGTGCAAATCATTTGACATTTAAAACCCTTTAAACAATTTAAGAAGTGCTGACTTTCACTACAAAGACATATACGTTGCTTTTTCCTGTGTTTTCTCAAGGTGCTTATTTCTATGTAAAATACACAACCCGTATGCTTTTGTTTCTCAATAGTGAACTGTACTTTCAATTAATATTTTAAAACTGTACCTTAATTTGTTCCCTTTTCTGGTACTGCGGATGTTAAGGTAATAGTAGCTATTTTCATCAAATGTAATGTCTTATAAAGACTTAAATAGCTTCATTTATTTTAGATCTGTATTAACAAGATGGTAGATTTTTTGGCATATTAGAAATTGTTATCTCACTGGGAGATACCATTTGAATATGAGTTGATTTTCGTACAGTATCACTGTGATTAAAAAGTGATCTAGACACGCATTCTTATTTTAGACAGATGTAAGTTGCATGAAATAAACTTTTTTGTATTTGGCTTTAAAAGTGAACTCCCACTATAATATTCTTTTCATCTTACACATAATGTTGCCCTTTTTTTTCCCTTCATTTTGAACTTCTGACTCTGAATGTGCTTGTATGGCATGTGTGGGTTTTATGTGAATAGCACATGCTAGGCCTATGTTGCGTGTTGCAGTACTTATATATGACAGAGTTTTGAAAGGTGTGGCACTTAATTCCCTACTGAACACTGTCAGAGCTTTATGGAAACAAATTACACAAACCTGAAGGTACACTAGGAGCCAGCGCTGGTCCTGCCCTCATGGGTGCCTGGTGAGGAGCTTGCATCTGGGCCATGCCCTGTGTTTCCCATGGAGGTAACATGGGATTTTCTTACCCTTGAGCCAGGCAGAGTGGAGCCCAGTGCAATGTGGTCTTGTTCATAGGTTTCTCTCAAAGAACCTGAATTTTTAGAAATACCCGGGAAGGGAGGGGAGGTTCATTTGCACTTGCACAATAACCAAGAGGGCTGAATATGCCAATTCTCTGTGAGTTTTGCAAAACTTGCTTTTACTAGCAAAGCTCTGTTAGTATAGGGAAGGTTTGTCTGGTCTCCTTGTTTTATAGGATTTTGAATATTGTCTGATGCAGAGGTAAACACTAGTTGTTTGACATGCTGTTGGCTGCAGTCATAATCTGAGGAATTAACTCTATTTTATATGTCATTACTAATACTGGAGCTGCATAGTGAAAGTAAAGGAGAGTTTTCAGATTAAATCCACCTGAAAGGAAAGGGTATTTGTATTCATATGCTAAAATGACAGGAGGGGTTAAGTTAGAGGATTTGGCCCAGCTGGGGGAGAAAGATTAATATTGACAGAGGTGTGTAAGAAACACTGGAAGGGTCTCAGTGGTCACCCTGTGTTATACACAGACCTGGGAGAAAGCTTACAAATTTTACTGTCATAACCACTTACTTTGGCAACTACTGGAGCTGAAAATACTATCTTGAGTTTTCTTCCTGTCTGTCATTAAGTAACAGTCATCAAAATTGTATAAAACTTGAATTTGCTCTTTAGAGCATATATTGATAAAAGCAGGGGTAGGCAGGGATACAGTGCCAACTAAGGGTTTTTGTTAATATACTCAAAATTGCAAAGATGTATTTAGTATGAAAAG